CAAAGCCTCATCAGAAAATTCCAATGGACTTTAAGCAAAGTTTGCCCTGTTCTGATTTTTTCTGGTTCCCTGTCTAGAACATGTAATGCTAACTATTCTTGCCTTTACTTCTCCTTCATGTCTCAATTTGAGAGTCTTTTAAATAGGCCCATAGAAGGGGTACCCCAATTGCCACACTCTATGTCCCTGGTCAGCATGGAAGAAGCCAGAGCGGTCTATGTCCCAATTCCCCATGGGCAAATTGGGTTACCTCGTCAAAAATAATAAAAATAAGGAAAAAAAAAAAATCCTTGCGCTCCTAGAAGCTACTAAATGAGATTGTACCTCAATTTGGCATCCTTATTGGTCTGGGGTCTGACAATGGCCCAGCTTTCATAGCCTGTGTATCTAAAACCTTAGTTTCTGTCCTCCAAATAGATTGGAAATTACATTATGTATATGACCCCCAGAGTTCAGAACAGATGGAAAGGATGAATAGAACTATTAAGGAGATTTTGACTAAGTTAATAACAGAGACTGATGGTAACTGGTAAGTAAAGAACAATATAAGAACTCTTCCTTTTGCCCTTTACAGGGCTTATACAGAGTTCAATATTGTATAACTGTATTATTTCAACAGTAAACCTAAAAATTTTATAGCTACTTTTGAAAGAGATGTATCTTTGCCCTGCAAACTGTTATTGAGTATGTTAAAGCTGTAATGAAATGCTTCTTCTAAAAACAACAACAACAAAAAAAAAAACAACAGATGTACTCCTTATGTGAAAGGAATTACTCCCTTTGAGATCTTGTTTGGGCGACCTCCACCCCTTACTCCCTGCTTAGGGGAGGAACACCTGGCAGAAATATCTAATTACAGCCTTTTACAGTCATTGCAGGCTCTGCAAAATGCTCTGAGTCAGGTACACAAACTAGTGCAGGAGGTTCATGAGCCCAGTCATCCCTCGCTGACTACTAAACAGACAGATCTGGAACCTGGTGACTGGATTTGGGTCTGCAGACATCAAGTGCCTAACCTTAAACCCAAGTGGGCTGGTCCATACCCAACCATCTTGCTGACTCCAACTGCTGGACGTGCCCACTGGATTCACCATTCCCAAGTTAAGAGAGCTCATCCGGACCACATTCCTCAATCATGGATGATAAAAAGAACAGACAATCCTCTCAAAGTTAAACTGATAAAAAGAATCTTAATTTTTATGTTCTCCTTCTGGATAATAAAAACTGTAACTGGGTACAGTGACTGAAATCCCCATGAACCATCCCCTGATAATTGGGTATTAAAAAGAACTTCAGATAGTAAGATCTTAGCCACTAACACTACCACTCCCCCAGCTTTCTGTTTGACCTTTGTGATCTGTTTTCTTGACAAGTAAGAGTAACTACTTGTGTCCCATCTCCTGGACCCTGGGGATATGGAACTCCTAGTCATAAGAAACAACTGCAAAGCCTACAAGTTTATGGATGCCCAGCAGATGGAGTCCAGACTGTGACCGTGAAAATGAATGGCACTATGGAACTTGGGGTTGTGAGACATTTGCTTCCTGGATTGGATCAAAGGATAAATGGATTTCCTTTCAGCATGGCACTCTGGTATAACTATGGGAAAACTTAACATTCCCTTGATTCTTTAGCTGAGGTAGCATTACAAAACTGTCGAGGGCTAGATCTTGTTTTTATGTATGACATTAGGTGAGAAGTGATGCTTTTATGCTAATCACACTGGGGTTATCAGAGATAGCATTAGATTGGTCCAACAACAAATTAATGCCAGAGAACAGGAACTTATTAATCACCAGAATTGGTATGAGTCCTTATTTTCCTGGTCACCTTGGCTAACTACATTGTTAAGTGCTGTTGCAGGGCCCTTGATCCTTATTCTCCTAGTATTTACCCTTGGGCCCTACCCCCTAAATGCTCTTGTAAGATTCATTAATTGAAGGCTCCAAGCAGTTAAACTCATGATATTAAAAAGCCAGTATAATCAACTTGTGCCGATTGAAGAAATACAAAAAAAAAAGTTTAGCCGGGCGTGGTGGCGCATGCCTATAGTCCCAACACTTGGGAGGCAGAGGCAAGCGGATCTCTGTGAGTTCAAGGCCAGCCTGGTCTACATAGTGAGTTCCAGGACAGCTGGGGCTACAGAGAGACCCTGCAAGAAACAGTATGCACCTTAATTTACCAGATAAGAGAAAAAAATGTATGTCAATTATACTATTAGGTACTATACTGTGAACTGGCTCAGCAAACTTACCTAAGTTACTTCATTTTGTGCAGAGCCATTTTAGCAGCAACTTTGCTTCACACCAAAAGGAAAAGGGGGGCAACCTTGGGTCCTGGGAAATTGTCCTAGCCATGAACCATGGAATGTGCTAATTCTAGACGTTTTACATCTGGCTAACTGCTTGTTTTCGCTTCTGTAACTCGCTTGCTATTTTAGGTCACCTTGACACAAAGTATAAGACCACCCTGTTATTGTCTGACCACCGGTAACTGCTGATTTCAGCTTTCTTACTATACTTGTTATGGTGAGGAAGTTGACTAATTATAAAATTACAAAGTTGATTGCCAAGTTATATGACTGTATCACTTGTCTGTATAATGATTGGTTGTTGAGTAATAGATTCAAAGTTCTGCTATGTTGTACAAACATGATTGGTTCACAGGTGTCCTGTTTGAATAATATTTCCATAATCCTATGAAAACTCTGGCCTGACAATGATCAGGGCTGCATCTACTCCTGAGATAGACAGCCTGGCCAGTAGAAATAATAAACATTTACCTTGCTACTTTTCTTAAAGTGGTGCTGGTGAACTGTCATATAACAACAAACAAACAAATCAAGCAGAAAAAGTGTGTGAGAAGCCATACATGCCAAGAGTCCAGGGCAGCACCAAGTCAAAGCTTGGCTGAGCAAGGGTGAAGAACACAGATTTTGATCAGAGTTTTTTTGTTGTTTGGTTTATTTTTCAGACAGGGTCCCCCAGTAGCGCCAGTTGAACTGCAACCCCCTATATAGGCCAGGCTGGCCTCCATCTCACAAAGAGCTGCCTGCTTCTGCTGGGATTAAAGACATGGTCTGTACTTTTTTTAGTATTATTTAATTAATTAATTAATTTATTTTTTGGTCTGAGACAGGGTCTCCCTGTAGCCCCAGCTGTCCTGGAACTATGTAGAGCAGGCTTGGCTTTGAACTCACAGAGATCTGCCTGCCTCTGCCTCCCAAGTGCTGGGATTAAAAGCGTGTGCCACCACGTACTGTGTGTATTGCCTGCATGTAGGTAAGTGCACCTGTGTTGTGCAATGCCCTCAGAGGACAGAAGTGGCTGTTGAATCCCTTGGAACTGGAATTACGGACAGTTGTTACCTGCATATGGGTGCTGGGATCTGAACCCGGGTCTTATGCAAGAACAGTCAGTGTTCTTAACCACTGAGCCATCTCTCCAGCCCCATGATCTGGACTTTTAAGGATGCCTAGGCATTTACCGGAAGACAGAAGAAAGGGCAGACCTACCTAGGAAGAGAACTAGTTAGAAAGATACCTAAGTGTTTACAGGCGATGGCATCTCTCCTTGAAAAAAAAGACCAGGACTGTTGGGAAGGAAAGGGGGTGGAGGAGAACGCATAAAAGACTCAGAGTATAGAGGGTCAGGTGTTAGTGCAGTGGGGAAGTGGATGTGGGAATCATGAGTTTGAGGCTAGCTTAAGCTACACAAGTTGACACTGCCTTAAAGTTTTGACTTTATGCAGGGCAGAGTTGCAGTGAAGGATTTGTGCATCCACATCCACATGCACATGGAGGCCAGAGCAGAATGTTGGGTAGCCCTGCTTTGCTGCTGTCTCTGAAACTAGAGCTAGGCTGGCAGAGAGCAAGTCTCAGCAATCCTCCTGTCTCTGCCCCTCACCCCGCAGTGCTGGAGTTATAGATACCTACTGTACGAGTGTAACCCCCCAAAATACTGACTTTTTACATGGGTTCTAGGGATTGGAACTCAGGTTGAGCAGCAAGTGTTCTCTCCCGTCTAGCCATCTCCCCAGCCCCCAATGAAGGATTTTAACTACTGAAGTGTCATCACCTAATACTTTGTTTTTCAAAAGCTAGTCTGAGAGGGATTGACTGGTAATTCAGAATTACTGTGTTCTAAACATTCGGCTTTCAATTACCTTCTCTCAAAAACCTTTCATAGCAGTGATAGGAAGAACAAGGGAGATAGGGGAGGGTAAGACAGAAAATGTATTGAGGGCCCAAGGGGTAAAGCTCAGTGATAGAAAGTTCATGTGTCTGGGGTTCAGTCCCCAGCACCGCAAAAGTTTCTAAACGACATCCCCACAAGGGTGTGTGTGCATGTTATCGGCACCTATACAATAAGTATATCGCAAATATTGTTTTTGGAAGCTTTGTTCTATACTCGCATGAACTACTTTGAGCCTATCGCATACCGAGTCAGGATGTAAAACCTATTTCTCACTGTGGGATACTACAAACAAAAAAAAGAAAAAAAAGAAAAGCAGTGGCACTGCTAGGAAGTGTAGGTTTGAGCAGCCTGAGTTTAACAGCTGAGGATGCAGGACTCAGAGAGTCTAAGGTCCCACGGTAAGTTAGGTGTGTACGTTTCCTGCCCACGCTGGTCTGAAGCCAGGGTGAATTCCCCCACGAGTGCCACGCCGCCTGCTCCTAGGCGTTCACAGAAGGTAGGCTCGAAGGGAAAGGTAAACCTACCTGGGTGGTGCCTACCAAGTGCTGTACCTCATTCGGGAAGAAATGAGGCGGAGACCAAATCGCTCAGCCTCCAGCGAGCAACTCAGACCACCTGAGGCACTGGCTAAAACACAGATTTTAGGTACACCAGAAAAGTAGCAAAAGTGGTTAGGGGAGGCGGCCCGGGAATCCGCCATTGGAAAGAGGAGACCACCGCGACGCGCCCTTGGGGCCTTAGGAATTAGGGGGGCTCTGCGATAAGCCGGTGAGGACTAGGAGGGCCTTGGACTAGGACCATGACAGTCCCCTCTCGGACAACCCCAAGTCCCACTATGGCGTCAACCCCAAGTCCCATTATGGCGTCTGCCCTCCTCAGGCGACCCTGGCCGAGGGGCGCGCTGAAAGCTTCCGGCTCAGCAGAACCTATCTGCCTCACCTGGCCAGGACTGCGCCTAAGGAGCGATGTATATGCTTCGTGGCCTCACCCTGAGGACTTCTGATTGGCTTTAGAGCAGATCTATCACTCATCTTCTGGGTTAGAGGTGGGTGGAAGGTCAGCTATGACCAATAAAGAAGCGTTTCTCGGCTAAGCCCCTCCCCATCCAGCTTCCTGTTGCTGTCCATCAACCTCCTGGCGGGCGGGACTTTGCCTCCCGCCAGTTGGCTAATGGACACGTCCTTCATTCCTCAGTGGATTTCCGGTTGGTGCCCGCTACCGTCTATCAGTGACGCTTCACAGTTCTATTGGCCAAACCAACGTCACTCTAGATGCGGCTCAATGATTGCTTGGAAATGCTGTCGGTCCCCAATGTGCCGAACGCTCATTGGTGAGCTCTGCCGTCGCTCGGGCGGTGGCGGGCTCCGGGATTGGCGGGTGCTAGGCGGGCGGTGTCAGGCTCTCGGTGGCGGCGGAGGCGGCGGAGGCCAGGGAGGAAGATGTCGTAATGAGCGGTGGGTCCTGGCCTCTGCCGGCGGGGTCTTCCCGACCCTCAAGGGTCGGAAAGACAGGCGGAGTCCGCGGGGAGGGGAAGCTGGGGCAGGGGGTTCCCCCCTGGGGTTGGGCCTGGCGCCGGGGCCCGGCTACGGGAGGGGCGGGGGAGGAAGGATTCCCGCCCGGAGGAGGAGCGCGGCTGGCCAGCCAGGCGGAGGCACCCGGAAGGGGGCGTTAGACTCCCCGCCCCCTCGGAGCCCGCTGGGCGGGAGGGCGGCGCTTCCGGGGGCTGGCACGCGGAGCGGGCACCGGGGCGATTCTGGACCCCCTCCGCCGGGCCGCGCAGGGTCCGCAGACGGTCCCTGGGTCTGTTCCGCGGAGGCGGTGGGCACCCCTCGGGCTTGCCCTGTGACTGGGAGCCCTCGGGATTGCAGAGGGGCCGGGGAATTCTTGAGATTCACACGGTGCCAATCAGACGGGCCCTGTTGGCGTAGGCTCCAGCCTGCTTACCGACGTAGCATCGCAGTTGGAGACGCTGTCAGGACTCGAGGGCACTCCCTAGGCTGATGAGTCTGGGCCTTGGAACTGCCAAGTAAAAATTGTCTTTTAATGTTTGCACCCGAATCCTTGAGCCTCAGGCTAGATCTCAGCAAGTATTTGGAATTCTGAGACGTTTGAGAACTCGCTGATTACTCCCAGTCTGGTGCCTGATGCCCCGTGGGAAAAATGTACTGAAATCCCCCAAAAAGCCCCGAAGCAATCGCTCTTGAGGGATGACCTAAGAAATAAAATGGGTAACTTGCTTTCTTAACCCCACCACCATCTCTATGCTGACTTAATGGTCCTCAGCCTCCTTACCCTTCCTAGGTTTCCTTTCCAATGCATTCTAATTTTAGTTAAGATAGGAAGTGTGTCTTCTCTGGGCAATTAAGAAATCTGCCCATACTGTGTTTCTTGGTTTTGATTCCAACAGCTTGTCATGTTTGTTTCATAATTAACTTGATCCAAGGGCACTCTGTTTGGCTTTTCTCCTGAAAATTTTTCTTCTGAGGTTACTATCTTATTTATTTGTTGCTTCCCAGAGACAGGATCAGGCCAGTAATCCGTTGTGAACTGTCAATTGGCCCAAGGTCCCCTTATGAAACACAAATTTCATTGTAGAAAGGCGACTGATGTTTCAGTGTGCACTAGGGTACACTGTCTGGAACTGTTTCCTGCTGTATATGCAGTGGGTATCACAGAGGAAGGTTAAATGTGAGTTAATTTTCTTGCGGTGTTGGAGATTGAACATAGTCCTTACAAATGCCAGGCAACCACTCTACCCCTGAGTTCTATCCTGAGCCCTGTGTTGTTTTGGGTAAGATTTTTAAGGCTAGAAAGTTTAGGGTCTTAGCCAGTGTACAGAGAAGCTGCCAAGGGAAGGATGGCAGAGCCCAGACCACAGCAGCAATTTCCATTACTAACACAAAGAAATCCATTGTCTAGTAATGAATGTAACTGCAGTGTCTTGTTTTGTTTCAAATTCTTAAGGACAATGAGCAGATCTCCAAACCTATCAATTGAGCTGATGTCAGTGCTCCAGTGGCTTTTGGGGGGTGGGGGTGAGCTCTCTGGCTGGCCCTGGTACTCATTCTGTAGCCCATGTGGGCTTTGAACTGGAGATTGTCCTGCTTCATCCTGCCTGGTGCTGGAATTCTAGGTGTGTGCCAATCTGCTTGGCTTCCAACGACTTCAGACAGGCTTTAATACCTGTTAGAAATGGATTCTCTTTGGCTGTGGTAATTGGTGAGTTTTCTAATTCTAGTTTTTCCACTTGGTTCTACAGAGACTCCCCTTTTTGGTTAAAAGCAACAGTCGAAAGGGAAAATAAGCTGGTCTGACACAATTCTGAACCTCTAGCTAGGCTGCTGAAGACACAGTTTCTTTGCCAGAGACCTAACTAGTTTTTTTTTTTTCATCTGGATCCTCCCCTGGGTGCCCAGCAGGGACACCTGGCTCTGGGAGGAAGAGTTTGGCATCTCTGCAGACAGCATATAGACTGGCCCCTTTTTTCTCGAATTCAATTAAAAATTTGGGCCAGGTCCAGTGAGACAGCCAGTAAAGGCACTTGCCACCAAGCCTCATGACCTGAATTTGATCTTTGGGTCCCCACATGGTAGGAGTAGAGAACTGACTCCTATGAGTTGTCCTCTGACGTCCACAGCCACACTGGCACATACACCTACACATATACATGCACCCCAAAATAAATAAATGTAATACTTTTTTTTTTTAAGTTTGGGCTAGTGGAGGCCTGTCAGAAAGAGAGAATCAGTGGCTTTTGGCAGATTTTTTTTTTTGTCTTTTTGAGACAGGGTCTCACTGTTCCAGCTGGCCTGGAACTCACTATGTAGACCAGGCTGGCCTTGAACTCACAGAGATCCACCTGGCTCTGCCTCCCACGTGCTGGGATTAAAGGTGTGCCCCACCTCACCCTGCCAGATGTTTGTTTAAAAACACCAAGGCTTTCCAAGAGGTAGGAGAGTTTAATTTGGTATTTTGGTCTTGAACTTAGTTCTTCTGAGGGTTAATAGAATTTTGGAGAAGTTACAGAGCCTCTTGTATCAGGCAGTGATGAGTACTATAGGTATGTGGCAATTCCCAAGCTTACTTTAAGCAAGCACTGGCCTACAAGAGCCCTTGTAATGACTTTTTAAGCTTCTTGCAGCCAGCCAGTAGACCCTAGTATTAATGAGGGCTCAGCAATATCCTAGACCTTGACCCCTACCATTCCTATGATAGAATAGACCATTTTTTTCCCTAAGTTATCTTTACTCCATCTCTGTGTATGCACAAACTAAAAAATCCTGCTTCCAAAACTTGGAAAATTTTAGTAATTGTTTTGGATCAAGTGGATAATGGCCATAGAATTAAAGAGGCAGAGAGACATGACCTTAAAGTTTGTGTGAAGTATTAGAAAGTTTAGAGATGTAGGTGTGTGAGCACATCTGAGTGTATAGGATTACAGGGCCTAATCCCAAACCTTGTGGGCTGTGAGCTCGGAGTACAAGCTGCTTGGAAAAGGTAATTTGCTTTCTTAAAAGTTTATTGGGTGGCTCTGTCTGCACTATCTTTTGGGGCATTTAAAGGATTTGTGAACTTCTGGCCTGTTCTAAACCAGGAGTTCAGGCCAGGTGTGATGAGACACCTATAATCCTAACCCTTGGGAGGCTGAGGTAGAAGATGGTGAATTTGAGACCAGCCTGGGCTATATAGTGAGTTCCAGGCTGGCCTGAGCTATATAGCAGCAAGACCTAGTCTCAAACAAAAAAGACAAGGGAAGTTGTATACACACGATGGACCAAATAAGTGTGTTTCTAGACAGAAATGCAGCCTCAGTGGACACGCTGATGTTTTTCCTTGATGTTTCGAATACCATGACTTACCAGGTAACTCCTATAGCAGGGGAACAAAAGCTCTTTATTTCTTCCTTCGTAGACCCGGGTTTTTATATTTCTGAAATGTAGGCGAACGTCTCTGTCTTATAAGATGCTTTCTCTGTAACCAATAGATCTTTTTCATGAGCTGCTTTCTCTTAGGCCTTCTGGGTGGAGGAGGTTTCGAGTTCTGTCAGTAATCCTTTGGAGCCTGGTGGGAGGAGAGAAGCAAAGAGGGTTGAAAAGGGACATTTCTAACTCAAGGGCATTGTCAGGCTAGGTAGGAATGGAACTGGGGGTTGTTCTTGAGGAGATGCTCCCATGGGTGGATTTGTTCCAGTTGACAGACTGTGAAATGGAAAACTTTTTTTTTTCTACTGCTTCTTAAAACCCTGAAGAAAAGAAAACAAAACCAGTAGGAGGAAACTGCGTCGGCACCAGCCTTGGGGAAGCCAGACCACCCAGTACATGTCTGGGAAACACTCTGTCACTATCACCAGGGTCACTGCCTCTCCTCAGAGTGTGCTTTAGGCTGGCATGCTCTAGCCTGATGAGCCTTGTTCAGTAGCAAGGGGCTGTAAATAGGCAGAGTGTACCATCTTGGCACATCTCAGTGTACCCCAGAGAGAGCGCCAAGCAGTGCTGAGATGTCAGGGCTATTGCATAGGAAACAAGTATGCATGCAGGCCGCCCTCGGAGTCCTTTGATGACATTCCATTTGCTTAAGCTGCCTTTTTTTTCCAACATCAGAACCACTGCTGTACCAAGTCCGAAGCTGCCATGTTGCAGTGCAGAGGTGCAGTTTGGGTGGCCAAGGCTAAGTTCTCTGAGATGCCAGTTTGCAGCCAGCTCCATGTGGTGATTCAGGCCCCTTAGGTGGCTGTTTATCCCAGTCACTGGGTGAGTGGCTTAGGAGCAGACAGCAGTACTCTGCACACTTCTAAATGTTGTCTTTCTAGAACTCTCTTGTGGGATTTGGTAAAATCACAGAGTTGGATAGGGATTTAAGAGACAGCAAGTAAGGCTATGTGATTAGAAGTGAAATATTTTTGCCCCTGGTTGATGTCAAATTGGAAGTCTCAGATTAGCCTTTGGAGAAAAAGACAAAAATCAATCAAACAAACACCCACCAGATTAAGGCATTTTCCAGGCTTTAGAAAAGTAAATGGTGAGGCTGGAGAGATGGCTCAGCGGTTAAGAGTACTGGCAGCTCTTGCAGAGGATCTGGGTTCCATTTCCAGCACCCACATGCAGCTAACAACCATCTGTAACTCCAGTTCAAGGGGATCTGACACTGTCCTCTGACCTCCAAGGGCACTCACTGCATGACACTGGTACACTTACATGCAGGCAATACACTCAAGACACATAAATAAAATTAATAAAAAACAGTAAATGGTAAGCCAGTCCTCTTCTCTAGGGAAATGAAGTCACTACTCACTTCAGGAGCTGTTCCTAGCCTCGGGGAACATGAAGAGTGACTCACAAGAAGCAGCAGAGGAAGCACCTTGTCTGTGCATAGTGTGTGTGTGTGTGGGGGGGTCCTTCCTGTTCTCTAAGACAGAATTCTGAGTCCCAGTATTCTTCAAAGCTTCTCTTGTGATGAACCCTTTCCTGGGACTGCTTCCATCATGCTGAAGAATTCCCACATCCCTTGCTGCCTCAAATTGGATGAGATGTGACCCAGGCAACATGTAAACTAGCTAATTACAGTCATGCTTGGAGAAGAGGCATTCAGAGTGGAGACAGACAAGGGGTCTTCACATTTAGATGCCCTTATGATTTTTTTTTTTTTTTTTTTTTTTTGAGACAGGGTCTCACTATGTAGCACTGGCCTGAACCCACAGAGGAGAGCTCACTACTGCCTCTGTCTCCTGAGTGCTGGGATTGAAAATATCTGCCACCAAGTCTGCTGTCTTCATGATCTTAACTAACCCTCCCCATGTATGTTAATAGCACAGAACTGTAGCACACCTCTGTGGAGCTGAGGCACTTTCACTGGTGTTTGAGCTGCTCTGGCACATGCACCACCACACTGAGTTTATGTGGTGGGGGGGATGGAACCCAGGCTTCATGTGTACTAGGAAAGCACTTGAGCAACTGAGCCACAGTCCTAGCCCTCTCTTTTGGCTCTTGAATTCCACTTAGGCTCTCTTCCCCTTCATTCTTCCAGGATTCATTCACTCATGAATTTATTCATTTATTTATTAAGGTCCTACTATTTTAGGTACTAGAGGTATATAAGTGAGTATGAGAGAGGCCCTTGCCCTTAGCAAATTTATGTTCTTAATGGGAGACAATAATTAAGTAACTAATAAGTACTTGTTGGAAAATGAGAAGTGCTGAGGATAAAAATAGAAGAGAGGGAGGATAGGAAAAATGTGTGGGTGGGGCAGGTTCACAGGATGTTAGGGAAGGCCTCAGTGAGGTGACATCAGGATGAAACCCTGAAAGAGTGAAGGATTAAACCCATGCTCCATCTGCAGTGAGAGGAGCAGGGGGGGGGGGGGGACTGGAGCAGACATAGGGGCAAGTAGCAAGCCCTGATGGGGAGCACACCTGCAGCAACAGGGAGGACAGCATGGCTAAAGCAGTGAGGGAAGAGTGACAGGAAGGCAGGGCAAAGGTAATGGGAGCCAGTTTTCATGGCCCGTGTGTGATGGTGGGGCTTTGGCTCTGATGGGATGCTTTAGGGCCTCTGTGCAGAGTGGTGACATAGTTTCATTTGCATTTGATATGGGCTTGGAATAGACTGACAAGGTTAAGGTTAGGATAGCTAGGTAGCCTTCTGAGTTAGCCATGTAAGAGATGGTGCAGACACGGATTCACGTAATGACAAGAGGTGATGAAAGCAGCCATTTGGAATGTATTTTCAAGGTAGAGCCAGAAGTGTTTGTTATCAAAAACCAGAAGTTAAGGCTAGCTGGCAAAGTCTTGGGCTGCGCATCTGGAAAGACAGAGTTAGCATTCATTGCAGTGGGGAATGTTGAAGGAAGCTTAGAATTAGGGAGCTCACAGGAACACCATCAGTGCTAGAGCCAAGGTGCCTTCCATTCATCCAAGTGAAGATGTCAAGGGCAGGCAGGAAACAGTTGTCAGCTACCATGTGGGTGCTGGGGAGTGTCTGGAGACAGACACTCAAGAGTCATCAATAGACATATTACTGATTTTTATTTGTTACTGTTTTTTGTTTTGTTTGTTTTGGTTTTTTTTGTTACTTTTTGTTTTGTTTTTGATACAGGGTCTCCCTGTAGCCCCAGCTGGCCTGGAACTCGCTACATAGTCCAGGTTGGCCTTAATGTCACAGAGGTCTGCCTGCCTAAAGGCCTGTGCTACCACGACCAGGCCTATTACTGATTTTTTTTTTTCTTTTTTGTCTTTTTAAGACAGGGTCCCCCTGTAACCTCAGCTGGCCTGGAACTCGATATATAGACCAGGCTGGTCATAGAGATCCGCTTCTGCCCCCACCTTGGGCCCCCCCAGTGCTGGGACTAAAAGTGTGCACCACCACACCGGCTATTACTGATTTTTAAAAAAATTTTATCTATTATTTTTATCTTATGTGTATGCACGTATTGCCTGAATGTAGGTAAGTGCACCCATGTCATGCAATGCCCGTGGAGGTCAGAAGAAGCTGTCAGATCCCCTGGGACTGGAGTTATGGACAGTTGTTAGCTGCCATGTGGGTGCTGGGATTCGAACCCAGGTCTTCTGCAAGAACAGCCAGTGTTCTTAACCACTGAGCCATCTCTCCAGCCTCTATTACTGATTTTTAAAGCCATAAAAGTAGGTAAGATCACTCAGGAAATAGGCATAGACAGAAGAAAGATAGGTCCTGAGGCTGAGCCCTGGCCCAGTCTACCCACTTAGAATTTGAGACAAGAGGAAGAACCCATGGAGGAGGCTTAGAAGTGGCCTGAGAGGTAAGAGTCTGTCTTGACAAGTGTATCTTGGAAGCTCAGAAAGAGTGTTTCCAGGAGCAAGAGCAATCAGTTGTCAGATCCAAGGTCTAAGAATTAGCCATGAATTCAGTAATATGAAGTCTCGTAGCCTTAGTATTGGCAGTGTGAATGGGGAAGGAGGTACAGCCTGGATAGAGCAAGTTCATGAAAGACTGAAAGACTGTCAGGGGAGTAATTAGGAACAGCAAGCACAGATCCTCCTTGGCTTAGGATGAGGCTGCCTCTCTGGTAAATTCATAGTATGTTGGAAATACTAGAATCCAAACATGCATTTTAATACACCTAACATTCCAAATATTACAGCTCAGCAGAGCCTACTTAAAACAAGTTGAACACACTCAGAGATTAGGGGCTGGGGTTGGAGTTTAGTTGGTAGAGTGCTTATCTAGATTCGCGAAGCCCTGGGTTTGAAAACCAGTTATGGTGATGCACATCTTCAGTCACAGCACTTCAGAGGTAAAGGCAGGAAGATCAGGAGCTCAAGGTCACCCTTGGCTACAGAATGAGTTTGAGGCCAACCTGGACCACATGAGACCCTATTTCAAAAAAAACAAACATACCTTTAGTTCCAGCACTCCTGAGGAAGAGGCAGGTAGCTCTCTCTGAGTTCGAGGCCAGCCTGGTCTACATAGGGAGATCCAGTCCATCTGGGGCTACAGGGAGACCCCATCTCAAAAACAAAAACAAACAAACATAAAACACTTAGGTATGCTGACAGTTGGACAAAATCATCTACAGCAGTCTATTTTTTAAAATATTTTATTTATTATTTTTATTTTATGTGTATGCGTGTATTGCCTGCATGTAGGTAAGTGCACCTGTGTTGTGCAGTGCCCATGGAGGGCAGAAGAGGCTATCGGATCCCCTGGAACTAGAGTTACAGACAGTTGTTAGCTGCCATGTGGGTGCTAGGATTCGAACCCAGGTCCTCTGCAAGAACAGTCAGTGTTCTTAACCACTGAGCCATCTCTCCAGCCCCTACAGCAGTCTATTTTATAAATAGTGAAGTGTTAAATATCGCATATAATTTGGAAAACGTTGCCCGGTGCACACCTTTAATCCCAGCACTGGGAGGCAGAGGCAGTCAGAGCTCTGTGAGTTTGAGGCCAGCCTGGTCTACATAGCAAGTTCCAGGACAGCTGGGGGCTTCAGGGAGACCCTGCTTCAAAAAGACTTTAAAAAAAATACAAGAAAAAGAAAACATGATCATGACTATGCTTTTATACCACTATAAAGTTGGAAAGCTAAG